GCGCTTTAATTTAAAGAAGGAGATCTTTCTTCTGGAAAAGGGATATCGTTTCGTGGAAACGAAAGTGTCCATTTGCGTGTCGCGAGTAGCCTTGGTTACACTTTCCCTGGTCACGCTTTATCACTCTGGCCTGATAGATTTATGGCGAGATGCGTTTGGAAACAATTTAATAAGATTCGCTCGTAAATCCGTTAGGGTGGAGACATTCTAAAGTATCGGGTGTAGAAGTTAATCAGGTTTTTGTATTATTCCATCTTTTAAGCAATTTTTTCAAACTACTGAATAGTGGTAATAATATAATTATTGTATTATACAGTTTAAAGGAATTTGGCAAATATGTTATTTACCTGTTTATTTGTTTTTTATTGAAAACACGTTTACAATAATTTACTAAAATTTGTTCGTAAATCTGTTAGGATGCATTCGTGGTTAAAAGTATTGGATATAAAAGTTCAAAAACCAGGTTTTTTTTAAACTGAAGCAATTCTCTTATTCTTCAAATGTATTATTTTAAATGTATTATTCTATCTTTTAAGCAATTTTTTTAAACTACTGAATAATAATAATATTATAATTATTGTTTTATATAGTTTAAAAGAAATCTACAAATGTTATTTGTCTATTAAGATGCAGACATTCGACATTTAAAAGTATCAAAGTATGGAAATTATTTTGATTTTTTAAAATTCTTTTATTCTTTGAAATGTATTCCATCTTTTAAGCAATTTTTTCAAACTACTGAATAGTAATAATAATATAATTATTGTATTATATAGTTTAAAGGATCTTGGCAAATATGTTATTTATCTGTTAGGATGCAGACATTTGTGACTAAAAGTATCAAAGTATGGAAATTAAAATTCCTTTATTCTTTGAAATGTATTCCATCTTTTAAGTAATTTTTGCAAACTAAATATAATTATTGTAGTAATAATATAATTATTGTACTATATAGTTTAAATGAAATCTACAAATGTTATTTATCTATTAAGATGCAGATATTCATGGTTAAAAATATCAAAGTATGGAAATTATTTTGATTTTTTAAAATTCTTTTATTCTTTGAAATGTATTCCATCTTTTAAGTAATTTTTGCAAACTAAATAGTAGTAATAATATAATTATTGTATTATATAGTTTAAATGAAATCTACAAATGTTATTTATCTGTTAGGATGCAGACATTCGACATTTAAAAGTATCAAAGTATGGAAATTATTTTGATTTTTTAAAATTCTTTTATTCTTTGAAATGTATTCCATCTTTTAAGTAATTTTTGCAAATTAAATAGTAGTAATAATATAATTATTGTATTACATAGTTTAAAAGAAATCTACAAATGTTATTTATCTGTTAGGATGCAGACATTCGTGGCTAAAAGTACCAAAGAAATTAATTTGATTTTTTAAATTAATTAAATTTTTAATTTAATTTTTTCTTTTATTCTTTGAAATGTATTCCATCTTTTAAGCAATTTTTTTAAACTATTGAATAGTAATAATACTATAATTATTGTTTTATATAGTTTAAAGGAAATCTACAAATGTTATTTATCTGTTAGGATGCAGACATTCGTGGTTAAAAGTATCAAAGTATGGAAATTATTTTGATTTTTTAAAATTCTTTTATTCTTTGAAATGTATTCCATCTTTTAAGTAATTTTTGCAAATTAAATAGTAGTAATAATATAATTATTGTATTATATAGTGTTATATAGTTTAAAGGAACTTGGCAAATATGTTATTTACCTGTTTATTCGAAAACACGTTTACAATAATTTACTTTAGAGATTTCCTCGTAAATCTGTTAGGATGCAGACATTCGTGGCTAAAAGTATTGGATATAAAAATTCAAACATCAGGTTCTTTTTTAAACCGAAGCAATTCCTTTATTCTTTAAATATATTATTCGAAATATCTTATTTCATCTAAACAATTTTTTTAAATAGTAATAATAATATTATTATTGTATTATATTATAGTTTAAAAAAAATCTACAAATATGTTACTTACAAATATGTTAGGATGCAGATATTCGTGGCTAAAAGTATCAAAGAGCAAAAATTAATTTGATTTTTTAAAAATCTTTTATTCCTTGAAATGTATTGCATCTTTTAAGCAATTTTAATAATAGCAATAGTATAATTATTGTATTATAATTTAAAGGAACTTGGTAAACATGTTCTTCACCTGTTTATTTATTCAAAAACAATGTCTTACAGATTATAATTTTAGATCAATCTGCTCCACGAATTTAAATTTTAAATATATCCGCGGTACAATGACATTGTACGAAGATAGAATAATAAATTGCCTTTTAATCGAAGAATCGAATTAATGAAATAATTACTCGATTATTAGACGAATTTAAATTTTTAATAAAAAATTCTAAAATTTAATTACGATAATCTATAAAATATAGCACGACATCTGGCCATATAAACGAATAATTGAAAATAATATTTAAATTAATTTCTACGTCTAAAAGCTCGCACTTTTGAAATAGATTTTTAAACTTCGATCCGATCTTGATTCTTCCAATAGATTTCGTCCAAGAGGATTTATCTAATCCAGGGGACAGAGGAATGGAATCAAGTATCTGCTCGCGAAATTTTCTTCGGAGAACGGATATTTATTAGACGTGGGCGAGTTTGAGGATACTCTGATGATACTTTGAGGGGGTTAAATGGCCCGTGAACCATAAGATAATTTCATTTGGTTCGAAACTCGAGAATCTGGTTAGAGGGCTAAGTGACACGGAGACCGTGGCTAATCGATCCCTAATCCAAACGCAACGCGATCTAAACCGAGACTTAATCGTTGCCTCCAAGCGTGGGCTAGGGGCTTGTGTAGCCTAATTGATATCGAAATCGGTGCTACTCCGTCTCTAATTTGGATACGACACGACCCCTCTCCCCCCTTAGTCTAAGCCTAATTCAATACTCATTCGAAATTACCACACAGATTACGAGAATCGATCCACATCGGGGATCTATTGGTTGCTTGTTGCACGATTAATTGATGATCGATAATAATAAGAGCGAATTCTGATAAGTGTAATTCATTCCTGAAATTTGATTCTTTTGATTGAAACGACACCTGTTGTGTGTTGCTTCGGGATGGCAAGTTGTATCGGCTGTTTGATCGAAAATTTTCGAGTTCACACATTTAGCTGGAATAAAATCAATCTGCAATAAAATATTAATTTCTCTCTTGATCGTCGATCCTTAAAATCACGTGAAACAACTTGTATTTATTCATAGGTTTAAAAGGTCTCTAAATCCTAAAATCATCCTCCCTTTGTATATCTTAATTTGTAATATGATTAATGAGCAAATATACAATGAATGCCAAATAATATTGCATATAATTATATGCATCGATCGATATATGCATTTCAAATACTCTCATACAAGATTGCTCTTATTGGAATTATTTTTCACATAGCTACTCATTTTATAAAAAAAATAATCGTTGTAAATATACACGAACATCTTTCTTCTGTAATCCCATTCGATAAAACATAAGGGATTAAAATCGACAAATAGTCGCGTTACTTTGCATTATCCGTTCAACAAACGCTTTCGTTCTTTCATTATAACTCCATAATTCCATTCCTCAAAATTTAAATTTCAAATGTCCCGCCAAAAAAAAGGATAAATCCCTTCATCGCGATCGCACGCGTACGAATACGAATGGCGAGAGAAAGAGAGAGAGAGAGAGAGAGAGAGAGAGAGAGAAAAAGAAACGTTTAAAACGATACCATAAACCGAATAGACGACTACTCTTTTTTTTTTATTTATAAAGCATTGATTTATAAAAATATAAGTATATACGATGCACGTACGAACGTCTTTCTTCATTTCGAAATACAGTAGAATTCGATAAAATATAAAGGAAAAAAATCGATACTCACTTTACTTTGCATTATATCCGTTAAACTATCACGATTCCCTATGAACGTATTAACTTCGTAACTCCTCCGCTTAAAATCTAAATTTCAAACGTCCCGGCATTGGTAACTAAAAAAAAATAAATCCTTTCATCCCTTTACGCACGCGTACGAATACGAATGGCGAGAGAAAGAAAGAGAGAGAGAGAGAGAGAAAAAGAAACGTTTAAAACGATACCATAAACCGAATAGACGACCACTCTTTTTTTTTTATTGGATCTCACACGGTGGAATATTTTTTATAAAGCATTTTATAAAAATGTAAATATATACAATGCGACGTACGAACGTCTTTCTTCATTTCGAAATACAGTAGAATTCGATAAAACGTAAAGAATAAAAATAGACAAATAATTCACTTTTTACTTTGCATTATATCCGTTAAACTATCTACGAACGTATTTACAAAGCACTGATTATTCTATAAAAATAATCGTTGTAAATATACATGATGCGGAAATACAGTAGAATTCGATAAAACATAAAGGATAAAAATAATTCACTTTTTACTTTGTATTATATCCGTTAAACTATCACGATTCCATACGAACATATTAACTTCATAACTATTCCGTTTAAAATCTAAATTTCAAACGTCCCGCAACGGCCGAAAAAAAAAAAAAGAACAAATCCCTTCATCATATCCCTTCATCGTACATCGCACGCGTACAAATACGAGCGAGAGAGAAAGAGAGAGAAAATAAAAAACGTTCAAAACGACACCATAAACCGAATAGGCGACCGCCTATTCCCCCCCCCCCCTTTTTTTTTTATTCGGTGGATCTCGCACGATGGAATTTACGCGAGGCATCAATGACGCCGGTTCCCGGCACCCACACTCCGGGACCCACGTCATCCGAGTTCCCGGCGAGGTGTAGGTGGGAACGAGTGGCCGGCGCGGCGCCCGAAGCCGAGTGTACGGCCGCGCGCATGCGCGGCCGCGCGGAGGGAGGAGTTGGGCGGCGTGGAGGGGGGGCGGCAGGAGAGGGTGCAAGGCCTGGTACGGCCGGGTCGAGGCGACGGGACGCCGGCGTCCGTCAGAGCGGCGTCGCGACGCGAACGCTCGCCTCACCTTTCGATCCGTGTCCACGCACCGGTTCTCCGCACTCGTTCCCCGGTCGTTCACTCGATCGTATCGCGTATTCGACTCCCTGTGTTTACGTCCAGAGGAGGCTCGGCGGAGAGAGGGAGAGAGGGAAGGTTCTTGCTCCGTGGAGGAGGAAGGAAGGAAGAGGAGGAAAACTAGGTGATTCTCGGTGCCCGATCGGAGGAGCGGAGAAGGGGGACTCGTCGACTCGTTGGTGTAACAGGTACGTCGTATTTTGCGATGCACGGCAAGAACCAAGTCGAGTGTGATGCGGTTTGTTTGGCGTATGGGGTTAGGGCATGGTATGGGGGAGGGTTGGAGCAAGTTTTCAGCGCAGGGAAATCGATGTCACGGTTGCAGGTTGTCGCAGTGAAAGTCTGTCGCGTTTGTCACTATACGCGGGCTTTTCTCTTTTCAATTTCCGTTTCTTGGATCTCTTCGAATTCTTCTTACGAAGAATTTCCTTCGTTTCTTACCACGTACAGTTGTATCTAATTTTCCATTGCTTAAATGCGAAGACGCGTTAAATTGTAAACGAGGTATCAAGTAAGAATTGTTTAAGTATACGATAACTTTGTATAATGGAGTAACGTTCGCGATTGTCGGGTTGTTGTTCGAAATCGGCGCGAATATTCGATCACGAAGCGCGATCTCGATTCCACAAATTTCTCGTTGATTATAACCGAAAAATGGATATTATATTTCGATAAAGGAATTATTTAAATTGAAAATAATGATAGATCGTATTACAGGGATCAAGATTGATATTAAACCGGTAGACATCGCGTGTTCCATGTACTTCAATGTATTATTACATGCCGTAAATATTGATACACAATGAACGATTTAAATTTACACATTCATATTTCAAATAATAATAATAATAACAACAACAAGGCTCGTGCTTTTATCGTATTTTGTCATGAATCATTTCCACGATGCAGTTTTTGAGATAAGCTTGGATAAATTGTTAAAAATATTGCTTGCGATCCTTTTTAACGTTAAAATGTTATTCAAATTCATTTACAATTATTATTGAAATTTACGTTGCGTGAAATAAAATAATTTAAGAATATTTTCTCCGCTTTAAATTTCATGTAATTTTATTACACTACTAATAGATTTCACAGTTTAAAATATACCGTACCCGAATAAGGAAGGATCGCAAAAAAATTTTTCTCTCTCTCTCTCTCTTTTTTTTTTTTCTAACTAAAAATAACATCCATTAGAATTTATTTCAATTAGTACATTCAATGTATTTCCACTTATTTCCACTTTAATTTATCCAACGAGACTAATTAAAAGATGGCTGAAACACGTTTAATAGCTGAAAATTATCTTTGGAATAATTAACGACTATTAAGAGTCAAAAGCTACAAAAGCGGACAGCAATAAATTAATTGTTACACAATTATCCATCTCTCGACACAATTATTCATAACTCGAACACATCCGTTTCTTCTCGTTTGTTATTCATCACACATCATCGTAGACAGAAAAATAAAATTTCGAAGGGAAAAACTCGATAAGAAAACTTGACAAAAATTCAACGTAATATTTTGATTTTATTATTCGAAGTTCCCTCGTAAAAATAACTTAAACTCGAAATGTAAGAATCATCTATCGATGATGATTATTATCGAGACCTCGAGGCTCGTATCGATCGAAACCTGCTGCCTCGTTTCGAAGATCAGATTAATTAACTCCTCCATTGCGTCATTTCATCCTTTACGATCATTTGACTCTTCTCGTTGCGGTTGGCTAACAGGTGACACTCGTCGAAATGGCCCATTCTACTCTTCAATTAACATAGAACAATACATTTAAAGAATTACTCAAGAACGAGTGAATTTAAATTTTTAATTAAAATTCTAAAATTTAATTATTAACGATAAAACCTATATAGAATTTTATTAATTTATTTTTATTTATTTATTAATAAATAGGTAATTATTGATTTAATTGGGAGGATTGATAAATTAAATAAACTTTACTTTAATTTTAATTTAAATTTTAATATATATATATAATTTACAAATGAAAGAACAAATTCAAAATATCTTTTGAAAGATCATTAATGAAGATGGCTATGTTGAATCAATATAAAGATTAAACGCAACAGTTTAAATTATTTTAAACCCTTCCTTTAAAATCTGATTTCGATTCAATCTCTCGTCGTCTCGAAAGATACATTCTACAAACATTTCTTTTCACTCAAAATATCATCGATTACAATAAGAAACATGCTAAACTTTTATCCCAAAGCTAATCTTCATTTCTACGTACTTTGGAACAGCATTTTAATTAACTTTTTCTCCTTCCCTTATCTGAAAATCTTCCTTCCCTACAATCAACCGAATCTATTTCTATTTTCCCCTTTCCTCACTTTTATTAAACTTGACAATTCCTTCGAAGTTTTACAAAATTTACAAAATTCACTCCCTCTCATCCCTCACCTTCTCATCTCAAGGCTTTTCTATACGACGAACGACAATAAATAATATAATTCCAATTGCTCATGTCTTCGACCTAATTTTCAGATAAGGGAAGAAAAAGCTAATTAAAATGCTATTCCAAAGTACGAAAGCACGAAGATTCGAAACGATCCCCTTCGAACGAGCCAATCTCCCCATACGAGAAGATCGATACCAAACGAATAGAGCGTCATTTAATAATCCCACGCGTGGATAATTTAAACAACTGGATTCGAGGAACGAGGATAAACGTGAGGGAGGAGTGGATCGACAAAACAAATTATTTATCCTCCCTCCACCCTTCCTGTATCGACCCCGAATACGAATGCTAATTATGAATTATGAATTCCTCCATGAATTATTCCTTTTATAAATCGAACAGCAAATTTTTAACAAGGTCGAGTAGAGTTAAAAGTGATGAGGCCATCTTCTGGTGGTTGTAGATGATTAGGAGGAAAGGGCAGTTCCTTCTTTTTATTATACATGTTACGTGTGTAAGGAATATTTCGTGAAATGAGTCTGAAACGGTGTAATAATGAAGATAAAATTTTAATAGTAGATTGATACAAAAAAAAAGACAAAAATTACGAAATATTCAATTACAGACAATTATCAAATATCTCTTATTGGATCGATGAGTACAAAATTAGAAACTTGGAGGGAATAAAAAAGTTCCACGAGTTCCTGAAATAAGTAAAACGAGCAAACGCATTCCCGTTAATTTCGTGCCCAAACAAACAAAGCGGAATGGAAGGCTTGCTCGGATGTCATCGATCCATCGATAAAAAGCTATCGATAAAAAGCGCGATGATGTGTCAAAACCACGGTTCAACTTCGCCCATCTTTTGTCCATTTCCACCCTCGTTTGGAAGCTGCGAACAACCGTGGAAGATGATCGGCATTTGAGGATTTCAAGGAGCCCCTCCTTTCCTCTTTTTTCCGCCCCTCGTGTCGTATCAACGATACAAGTCGAGGTTAATTGGCGGGGAATTCTCGTAGAGAAATATCATCGTTGATTATATTTCCGCCAACTCAATTTTCCTAATGAGTCGGTTTTAACAGTTTGATCAAGGTCCGCGCGGAGGGGAGGGGAGGGGAAAGGAACGGTCTCGTTGAGGGTGTAAGAGGAGGCCTCGCTGCCTCGTCCATTAACATACATTCTGGAAAAAGCCGATATCACGATATGCGAATTAAACGACAATATTGACGCACGTCTTTTTTAATTGGAATTCGTCGCATAGATCTTATAATTAATTTTTCGATGTTAAATAATTATTGAAATGTTCGTTAGAGGGATGCCAATATTTTTATTCGAGTCATTTTTCACATCTACATGGTTTCTCGTTTCGTTTATTTACAGTTCTCTCTCTCTCTCTCACCCCTTGGAAAAATGCGAGAAGGACTGTGAATTATGGAATTCATCGAGTAAAATTTGTCTCGATATTTAATTATATAATCGTTGAATTGGCTCGTTGCCAATTTATTTATATGAAAATTGATCAAAATCCATTTCATTCCACGTTCTTTGTTCGCCAGGCCTAACGATATTGTAATAAACTTGGCGAATTCCATGGAGTAACAAGAAACTTCGTAACACGCATCACCCACCCACGTCGAATCCCCGAGCATTCAACAAGTAACCTTATATATATATATATGGAGCATAGAGTTGTTCCTCTTTCGATTATTATTTTTAATTCACATTCACGTGTACTGGTTGTTTGGATAGGAGAGGTAAAGTAGGTCAACGATTGACTCGACATTGTCGCTTACGTTCGTGATTGGTCGCGAAGTGGAATAGGTTGGATACGATCGGTCAGGTAGAATGGACGTGAGATGATCAGACAAGTGGAATAGGTCGGAGATATGGTCGGGCGAGTAGTACAAACTAGCGGTGGCCCGGCAAGTGGAGAAGGACAATCGAGGGAGTGAATGGAAGCGCAAGTTTTCTTTCCTTCATCAAAGTCAAAGTTTTTAACATTTCGAGAAACTTAATTAGCATTTCTAATTGTACTGTTGAGCGAACAAAGAAAAGCATCGCTCGGTTGGACCGCTATTGCTAGTTTTTATATCTCTGGAAAAAATAAAAGTTCTTCTTTGATCAACATTATGTTGCAATTTTGAATGCGTAACAAATGAAATTTACGAGAAGTATTTATATTAAAAAAAAGATCTAATTAAAAAAGTATTTTACTCAAAAAAAAAGCACCTGAGCATTCCTCTTAAACAAACAACACAATAGAATTACCAAGCTTTTATCAAATTATTAGAGCCAAGATTAATATTTTAATACAATCTTTCCTACAAATTTATTCGATTCTTCTTCTTTTTCTTCTTCCTCCCTTTTTTAAAATTTTCAAGTTTTCATCAAAAAAAAAAAAAAAAGAAGAAGAGAGGAAATTCGTTTCCAGGATTTCGAGAAAAATTCATAGAAAAATTTCCAACCTCGTTTCTCTTTCTAGAAAAAGGTGAAGGTATTATTCCAAGGGCGTGAACCCTTGCTTCTAAAGCATCGCTTTCGTCGCATTTTTCCACCGTGCTGGAATCGCGTAATCGAGTTCGTGAATCTTCCACGGTATTCCCCGAGCGGCGGCAAAGATAAACACGCGGGGTTCTCGGCGTTAAGCCTCGGGAAAATACTCGAGGCCGACCTATGGCGATCTATACAAACGTGAGTCGAATATTTGCTTCGGTGTTCCGCCTCGATAGTGCCTCGAGGCACATAGAAATTTTTTTTCTCTCTCTCTCT